AGGAAATCTATAGGTGCGGCAATTTCCCACCGTTCCCTTGGGGGAGGCTCGGCCCCTTGTTGGAAATACGGAGCGTCATCTTCTGCTTCGAGGGCGTCAAAGTATTCTGTATCACTGTCCATTGACACATCCTCGACTGTGTTATCTGGGGCGGTTGGTTCTGCTGGTTCGATGTCTGTATCTGAGTCATCAGGGTCAGGCGACGTCAATGCAATGAACCTGTTTGGTGTCATAAGCTGTTGCAGCATGTTGACGCCGGCTTGACCCTGAACAGCCGGTACCCGGGTGTCAGGTGCCAAGTGACCAGGCGAAAATAGTGGATGTTATATGAGCAGTGAGTGCAAAATGTGTCAACAGGATTGGCTGGGCTAGGGAAACCCCGAACACCCGGCACCCGGGGTCAAGGTTCCCCGCTGCGGGGCCAATTCGTTGGAGGTGAAACAGGTAGGAAACAAAACAATCAGGGTTTGTCTTACACCTTGGTATGCGAATTGATGTCGGATGGCTGACCTAGCTATGAAAACTAGTGGAGCCACAAAAGCTGCAGTGTGAACAATTGTGCCACTGACAGTTTATGCAACCTTCTTTGCCCAAGTACATGTTAGTTCGACAGAAGTTGAGATGACTAACGGTGACAGGACCTGGGACACACGCCTAACCAAGACAGCTGAGCATACAAAAATCCCCTTAAATCCTCTTACTCCAGTTTATGGGGGTCATACTTGAGTGGGTACTCTCCCTTACAGTAGGTTTGGGGGGAATTATCCTGGCACGCAGCTGCTTTTCTCTTGGCGCATCTGTGGAGTAGGCGGCATTAGAAATGGCACTGATCAGGTGGTTTCACACAGTCAGGTGCACGCAGTACTAGCTGTCTGTATGGTCAGTCAATGATTTCCATTTCCATATCTGCAACAGGAGAGGGTTGCAGAGTGTCTGGTGATTGGTCATCTTGCATTCTTTTAAGGCGCTTTCTAATGCGCGTGAGATGCTCGCGGGCATTGACAAGCCGCGTTTCATGGAAGGCTACTCTTTCACAGGCTGTCTTCTCCATGTTCTGTAACGTCGGGATGTCCACTGTGGCGAGGTCGACGTCCTGCCTGGATTCGCTGGCGGGCTCAGGGCTGCTAGCACCAGCAGTGTCAGTTGCTTGAGTCTCTGGCGATTCTTTGGGTGAATTTGCAGGCGACGATTCTTCTGTTGATGTGTCGTCGTGGGCTGCGGGCTGTTCCGGAGGTTGCTGTTGCTCATCATCTTTGCTGTGAGCTGCAGAGTGAGAGTCAGAGGATAACACGCCGGTACCCGGGGTATCCGTTTGCGCTTTGTTCGCAGGCAGGGCCGATGGTGGGCCTGGTCTTCTGTGAAATAAAGATTGTGCACTGATTTTGTCAGGTGGCTTGCTTTGCTGCTGGGCTGGAGCTTCTGCCACCACGCCTGTACTGGGATTGGACGATGCGGCAGTTGCCGCGTTGTCTGTGCTTTGTTGACTTGCGGCCAGCAAATTGGCTGGTTTTTGGGTCTGTCTAGCCTCCGTTGGTCGACTATCTGCCAACGTTTGTTGGTTCGCCTGATGAATGATAGACTGCAATTCCATATATTGCCGCTCTCGGTCAGCCACTTGCTGTGGCGTGCTCTGAGTACCCTTGGGGTCCTGTGGAGTGTCTGCTTGCAGTTTTTGTACTGGCTGCTTTGCTGCGGATCGCTCCGTCCACCTGGTTGGTAGCGGTGGAGGCGGAGGCAGTGCCCGTTTCACATGCTGCGAAGATTTAAGTCGGTCAATGCGTGGCTGAATTTCATCTCGCAGCTCAGGTGGGTACGGCTCTCCGGTCTCAGCTAACCACTGTACAGTTTCTTCATGCGTCCACAGGGTGGTTCTCCACAATGGGATGGTATTGTCATCAGTGACCCAGAACAATGGCTTAGGCGGTAGCAACTCATGGGCTTCCACGATCAAAGGCAGCAGGAAAGCTAATCTCTTTTGCTCATGGAAAATCATTGCTCCGTTCGGGTGAACTTTCAGGTGGGTATGGTTCCACACAAAAGGTTGCACGACACGCATGGTGTGAGCGTCACGATTAAAGATGGATAGTCGGACTTGGGTATACGGTGGCGCAGCACCGTAGACTTTTCCATCCCAGGGTGGTTCAAGAAAGCCCCACCTCTCTTTCCGGCCGTAATTAACGGTCTCCCAAAAGGCAGGGTCAAACTCTTTCTCAAGAACGTCTGCAAGAGTAGAAAAGAGAAGCCATGGCACCTCGTCAATATGCAAGTGGTATTCTACCAGCGTAAAGTTATATGTTGTTTGGCAATCTCCTACCCATATTGTGCCCCTCACTGCAAGAAAGCGAACTTTGCTGGCTGCTGGCATGTCCCAATTCATTCCAGCCGATATGTTCAGTAGGTGTTGATCAGAAACACTGATTTGGCCAGACGGAAAAGGGTTTGGCTTCGGCATACCAGCAGCAGGTACCCTGCAGTGGCAGCACTCTCCGGAGTGGAGGCAGTTGCACGGCGTATGGTTAGACCAAACGACAGGAACCACTCGCTATTGCGGGCAGCGGCCAAACAACGAGAACCCCGTGTTGGCTTGAATGTATGAACGGGCGAGCAAATTAGAAGTTGGGGTCAATGAGGATCCAGGCAACACTGGCTTATGCAGGTGCGGTGTCCTCACAGTTCGAGCCAACGGCTGCTGACGGAGACAGTGAATCATGTTCGGTTCAGGCACAGTTAACAAAATACCAGACACTGCAACGGTGGGAAGTATGTGCAACATGTGACCGGTGACAGGATTGGAGTGAAGGTGCATTGTGGTTCAGTAGTAGAGACATGACACAGGAGGAGGTAGCAAGGGGCAGGGCAAGTGGTGGGGCAGCAGCACATGACAGGAGGAGGTGACTACCTGTGCAAGATATGCTAGAAACGATGGACCCTGAGGAGCACTATCAGAAAGGAGTACACATTAATGAGAGGATATATGGCCGTCAGGATATTGGGAGGAGGGGTGACAGTCATGAGTGTGTGAACCATGTGAGATGAGTGCCTGGTAGGGTGAAAGCGAAGCTGAACCCTCACCATTACCCAAGGTGCCCTTGGGAACAGTGGAGGAATGAAAGACACATGTGTCATGTTCCTACTGATGTGAGGGGCACAGCGGGGGGTGAAGGCATGAGGGACTGCTGAGATAGATGGTTGAGTGCGGGAAGCAGTTTCAATCCGTTCTATTCTTAAGCGGGGGGGTATACCTACAATGTGTCGACTCACCTGTTGGAGGGGGCCTATGGTGGTTTCGAGGGAGTACGGATTGCTGACTGCTTGACTGTTTCTTGGCAGCAGGTGGGCACTCAGTGTAGCCGAGTTAAAAAATTCTATCTGTACATTGCTGCTCCGCACTTCATCGCAGTAGTATACGCAGGATGCGTTGTTCCGTCGTGAGCATTGTTCGGTCACAGCGGGCGATAAATGCACTGATCTCCAGGTGGGCGGTTCGTAATACTCCGCTTAGTACTTGCTCGTCAAACCCTATGTCGTCCAGGTCATCCATGGTTTCCTCCAACTGGTACTGCAATCTCATGGCCAGCAGTTTAACACGATGGACAAAAAGGAGCTGCTGGAGTAAGGCACGAACATGGTCAGCAGTTGCGCTGCGCGCTGCCCTGTTCATGGATCAGGTCCGAAATGCTGTACAGCGCTAATGGACGTTCGGCAGCAAACAGGGTGGTGGACAGGAAACACAGAGGCGGGTAAGCTCTAGCCAAATTTCACGGACGCACTGACAAATATAGACAGGTAGTATGCACTTACGCACCTCCTACTGTAACATGTCAATAGTATGCTTTGAGGCCCTAGTGGCTATTCGGCTATTCCTAGCGTCCTGCATACTTGGAAGTCTAGATTGGACTGTGGCAGTAGAGAGGCAAATGTTTAAGCCGTTACAACAATGTAATAGTATTTGGTGTAGTGTCATTCCCAGGTAATTACTTAAGGGCAGCCAATGACTAGAAAAACACCCCTTTGGTACAGAGCCATGGACATTGGCTGGAGCTATGCCACCAGTAATTAGGAAACACCAGTCTTTCCAGCAGCTGTTAGCAGCATGTCTGAAGAGTTCATCAATCTCTGAAAAATTATTGAATAATTCCATGGTCACTCAGTATTTGTCACAAGGCCCGCAATCAAAACCTTCCAAAAGGATATGCCCGAAAAAAGTGAAAAAGCTTGAAATTATGCGGTAAATTACAATTATCGGGCACAGCAGTGGGTCAAAGGGATAGCATTTTATATCTTTCCTTTGGACAGATGGTGATTCCGATTCAAATGCGGCAACTGGAGAGCTCACCGTGGCCACAGCTCCTTTTTGTGCCTTGTACCAATCCGAAGAGGCCTAAGTGCATCGATGCGCGGAAGTACTTCCTTATAAACGACCTTGTCCCTACAGTGCATAACATGAATATATATATATATATACGCCATACAGACATATATACAAACAACGTGCATATTCAACATATATATAATTATATACATCGTCGCATACGCTCTCGCATCCTACGCATGGGGGGAGAACAACATACACCATCTCAAACTTAAACAAAACCAACAACTTCAAATAGTGCAGTCGGAAACATGAACGATCGACAGCCCAGGCAAACTCTGTTTTCTTCTCGTTGGCGGACAAGGGTGATTTCCAATGAAATCATAAATTGATTTCTATTTCGCATTGCATCATTGATTGTTTCATCGCATTGAAAACGAAAGATGGGACTGCATATCCCGGCATATCTTTCACAACGGATTCTCACCCAAGTCTGCTTCAGCCAAGGCATCAACAGAGCAGTGCCTAACATGGGCATTTCGGGCTGACGTAAGTAAATGGCCTTAGAAGGGCCAATTCCAGGACTGAACCTCGGCTCAGATAGTCAGCCACATTGGAACTCGACGGAACCCTCGTCACCCGAAGAAGGAATGTGTCTTCGCCTGGGTCCTCCAACGATAGCAAGGTCTTACGCCAGTCTTCCTGCAATGACGTCCCCTTGACGAGCGCGTCCAATGAGGCCAGTTGTCCACAAACATGACGACCCTTCCGGAGGATACTCTTTTCTTCCAGTGACGCAAGGCCACCTCGCAAGCATAACGTTCAACCAATCCAATAACGTGGGACTTCCCACCATGTCTCCAAACATCCGAAGCTGCACTCGGAACTTCACTGCCGAAAACTTCAGGATTTGCATCAGGGAAAAGACAAACTGCACCTATCGTCGCACGAAGCTATCCAGTGTCGTACTCAAGGGCACCATCTGTAAAGCAATACAGGTTTCTTCATGTCATCAGCGATGAAGGATTTCGGTTTTCCTCCGCATAATCTCTCTTGAAGAATCTCAAATGTCTTGATCTGAGTGTCACCCAAACGTACGGTCGTAGGTGCCGTGTGTCCAAGCTCCCTCAAGTCGGCCAACCAGCTTGCCAGCTCGCCCCACACACGGGAGTCTGCATATTGAAGTTTTCCCAGAACAGAAGGTAGCTGATTAGGCACTACCACGCCAGTCTCAAGGATATTTATCAAGGCACGGTCCAATTCCACCACCCTCGCAGGTTTGTTGGATATTGCAATCTTTCTCTGCAACGCTTGCTCAAGTCAACCCCGATTCCAAGAATTTCAGCAGTGTAATCGAAGGGGGGCCAGCTTCTCCTCCGAGTAAACAAAACCAAAAGAGACATGAAACCCTTGGTGCAGGCCAACGTGGAGGTGGTGTGCATTGCATGAGATACCATAGGGAATTCGTCAAAGCAACTCGTCCACAAGAGTCCCCACGCGCACCGTGCGGCTTGCAGGAAGGCACTCACCCTCACGAAGTTGTGAACGCTAGCTGAATCTCCAAATGGGAGGGTAGCACACTTGAATCATCTCACATCCTGGTGCTCTTCGCTCCAAAAAGGAAATGACAGCTTTGTCTGAATCTGAGAGGGAGCTGTTTGTACGCCGATTTCAAGTCCATGGCTGTGACCTTCAGATCAACGCCAGCTTCTATCCAGTCTTTATGAACAAACCCAAGACAATTGCATTCCATCTTCCAACTCAAGTTGAACTGGCCACCGACTGTATACAGCCTCAAGAGAAAAAGGAACCCATACCAGGTGGTCAAGGGCATACAATAATGCCGTTTCCGTTGACGAGAAAATCTCGTCCACTCAGTTTTCCTTCAGGTCGTCAATGGGCCTGAGCTACTCCTTTAGGATGACTGCAAAACGCCTGACAGGAAACCATCACCCAGAAAAACACTCGTCCATTTCAAGCGCAGTATAAAGGGCGAGACAGCCACCCTTTATCAACAGTTTCACTTTCACTGAGCTCGTAAAGTTCCTTGCTGTGGGCATCTCCAGGGCTCGCCCGTATCTTCCAAGCAACGCTGGCTTCAAAACTTGGCATCCTTCATCAGTTGTTCTTCGCTCATTGAAGCCGCTTTGATACCAGATTGAAAAACATATGATTTCGTCGCCTGTCCCACCAGCTGGAAACCTTGGGACATCTCCTGGAAGAGTGTGGTGTCTGGCCAGTTGATACTTTCTGCAACCCTTTCCACAAGGAGCAAACGCTTGGCACCGAGCACAGCTTGGACCTGGGGGGTCGCACTTCTGTATGTACTCTTTTCCCTTATTGCAAGTTCTGTTGCCCAGGTGGTCCAAAGCTTGAGTCTCTGCATGCGCAGTCGCACATTTCCACCGGTGACAGTGTGAGGTGCTCATGCAAACATTTCAACAAATGGTCAGGCATATGCGCAGCTGTTTTATAAAGGGGTGCCACAAAGTCTTGGCCAAGGCGACAAAGGTTTCGCATAAGTGGAATCCCAAAACACACAAAAGCTTCTCTCCCTTCTTCTCGGTACGCAGCAGGCGACTGCCTGCTGGAACATGCTTGCAATGCTCGTACAAACAACGCTTTGCATCTGTTGATGGTAAAACATCTAAAAGAACACTGCAAACTTTCTCATCTTCCGAATCAGCTGTGGAGTGGCCCTGCCATGCGGTTGTTTGTCGAACGTGGAGATTTGCAGTCAACGGGCTGCACTCTGAATCCTTTTTCCAAACAAATTTCATCAAAACACGTACAAGTTGTTCGCACATACCATTGGGGTATTGGGCTTCCATTGCTGTCGCGAGGCCCTGTTCAGGGCTATAACCCCAAGGTTCATGCACATGCGGTTCGACATCTTCACACAAGCGCTGCATCAAAGAAATACTGCTCTGATTGCAAAAAAAAAAAGGAAGTCCTCTTCGGTCTGACACCGCCAAAGGCGCAAGCATGACAATGCGCAATTGTTCCATTTTCGACTGCATATGCAAAGAATTCCAGCTACCACAAGAAATGGTTGGTTGGGTTTTCATCACCCAAGGAATTCGCCTCTCATACAAAATTTCACAAATTTTCCCATTCTTCACGCAAACGGTTTGCTGCGTCAACTTTCACTTGTCCAGTTCAGAAAATCGGGAACGCCCAAAGGAAATTCTTGGCTCCGTACGGCATTGGAATTCCCCTGGCCTTGCTGCATGTGCCGCATGGCGGTGCCAAATGCACTGCCACAACATCGCATGTCTCAATAACATATTGCAAAACATCCCAAGCATAATCCTCTGACAAAACCGGAGACACTACTTTGCACCTGGGTCGATGTCTGTTTCGTTTGAAATCAACAGGCATCACACGGTAACCATGCTTCTGAGCTGCTGCACTGCGAACGGCACTGCCAGCGCACAACTCGATGAAAATCATTCGCTTTCCATTGGAGAAAAACTATGAACCCCTTTTGGGGGAAGCATCCATGTCCGCAAAAACTTGAGAAGGCATACTTTTCATACGTCGTGCATCAACGTGGGATTCAGACCTGGCCTTCTTAGAAGGCTGTTCCCCCGACTGCAGCCGAGCATTGGCTGAAGGTGGAGGCAAGGCATCACCGGCATTGCATTGATAAATTCTTCGGGAGATAGTCGCTCCCGAGACACCGCCGTATTATTCGGGCAGTTCATGGCCATATGCATCTTCAGCAACCTTTCACAGCACAGAAGTGAAGGCCTTCTAGGCACTTCTGGTCTTCACTAACTGCTTGCATCGCTTGAGATTGTAATCGAAAACAAGCCTATGTCCCTTGGATGTCGAGGCAACACATCCTAGCGACAGCAACTCGCTGGGCACCCACATGAAAGTGCCGTTAGAGCTACCCTTCTGGGAAGCTGGGTCAGGCCTTGGTTTCTTAGGCCCAGGATCATCGCTCTCTGCTTCGTGGGAGAATGAGAAGAGGCAGCTGGGGCAAGACGATGTTGGAACAGGTTCAGAGCTCTGGGCTGTCAGAAACATGCATCAAAATGAACGTCACAGGGTCGTCCAGTTGGCCCTGCCTTTATCCCTTCTCTAGTCTTCTCCGCCATCAACGTTCAAAACTTTTGTCAGCCCACTCAACCTGCTTCAGCGTCAAAAATTGCACAACCAGACGGGGCCTCTTCCATGCAAGCATTAATCAACTTCTCTGCACGGTGCTCACGCTTCTTGAAGCACACGATGTGGGCCTGGTCAAGCTCACGCACGCGCCTGATAAGGCAATGCTCGAAGTTGCCTCTGATATCCAATCCTGAAAGCCTTTGTTGCTGTTCACACAACCTCTGAGAAAGCTCAGCTGGTGCAAGCTTCTTCACAGCAGCCTCGTCTGAGGCTTCAACCTTGGAACGCATATCTGCAGCAATGATCGAGTATGCCTCACTGAAAAGGCGTCTGACGCAGGCCATCTCCTTTTTCGAAGGAGCAGCACCAAGGAAATTGGTTGCCAGGGTCGTCAAAGGGCGTTCATCCGCCGACCCCGGAGCATAATTGCAAGCAAACGCAAAATTGTCCCTGGTGTTGAGCCCTTCTGCATTGAAGGCCTCGAAATTGGCTTCAGTAAAACCAACTTCCAAAATCTCTTTCATAATACTGCAGTGCTGTTACTGTATGACATGGTCGCGACGAGTGCTAGAGCCACAACTGCATATATGGCACAAAGTCATAACACTTTGCATCAGTGCCAGACTGTAACTGCATCAGTAAATTCAAACTTGGTCACGACTCACGTCACGATTTTCCAGTTTTTCTTTGGCAACAGGTTTGAATGTGATTCTTGACGCATTTGTGCTTACATTCCACATTCACCTCCATGAAACAAACATGCGACCATGAAAACACTTCGCACGAATGAACCCCGCAACTTTCACCCGTCACCTGTTGCCTATTGGAATTTAAACCACTCAAACATCAAATACGGCTCCCAAAATCATGCAGTCTTTTGCTCATACGTGATGGTCTTTGAAGCAGGTGCCACACAAAGGGTGGAGGAGCTTCGGTCGCTCTCCTTGCACTTCATATCGGGAAGACATTGCCCTGCCACAAGCCAGGTGGGTTCCAGCTTCGTCCATGATCTTGTGTAGACAACGTGAAGTGGCATGGCGAACATATACCTGCAGAGTGTCGGCCTCAACATGTTTCGGTTGCCAAGCACCAGCAACCTGTTCGATCGCCTGTTCTTCCTCATAAACATCCCTGTCATCCTCGTCTTCCGAGCCACAGCTTGACGAATCAATGTCGTCCCCAGCATCTTGCACAGCACCTGCCTCACGGGCAAACATGCCTGACCTCGTGAGGTCAGGATCGAAGCTGCCACCGGCCACCTTGCTGATGAGGTCCACAAGAAGCCTGAGTGGATGGGACATGGCATCACGTGAGTAAACCAGCATAGATTGATCGGCCGACCCACTATGATACCCAAGCAGTCTCCTGACGTCATGGTCAAAACCTGCACGGGCGCTACATGCCAAAAGGGTTGCTTTGCAGCTGTGAGTTGCAACCCTGATGTCACCCACAGTCTCGGCGTTCTTCAAAAGATTCCGCAACCACTCACCTGCTGGTGTCACGTTCAGCTGAGCTTGAGATCAACCACCACCAACTGCTGGAGAAGGCATAACAGGGAAGTTTCCACCCGATTTTCCAGATGCCATCAAACCTGATCAGCAGTTAAAGGAGGCCGCTGTCGTACCTTTGCACGCTTCTCGTAGTGCAACTTGACTGCACCATCAATCCTCTTCGAGCTGCAAACTTCGAGGCCTCCAAGCAAGCCCAAAACATGTGTTGCAAAACTAATGGACAGCATGAAAGACCTCGGGTAACTCGGAGCTGTGTTAGCAACCGACTTGACATAGTCGTAGACCCTGTACTCTTCCAATGGAAAAGCCCTCAAGTCCCTGTCAGCACAAAATTTCAAAAAAAAACTCAACAGCGGACCAGCCCTCGAATGAAGAGTGCTTGATGACTTGTTTCCCAACGAGTCACCGATCGATTCAGCCAACCCTCCTTTGGCAAACTCCATCGGACCAGGCAATATCTGCTGCCTCGCCACCTCAAATGCCATAGGGTTGGAAGAAACAATGCTAATCCACTTTCTGTAGGCGCATTTCCGTTCATAGTTCAGTTGATCTTGCCATGAACGTTTCTGTGCGTTTTGCAAGGCTTTCGTACTGAAGTTAGGATCATCCAGTCCAGGCCTGCTCAACTTGTCCGGCAGACCCTCATTTGACCCTTCCACAGCAGGAAGTGGTGGCATAGCTCCCATAATCCGAAAAAGGTTCTTTTGAGATCTTTGCACAATGTCCAAGTTGTCCATTAAACGGAAATCCCAAGGCATTTTGGCATTGCTAACATTGTTCGAAATCCAACAGTGACGTGCATGCATGCAAAACTGAGTGGTATCTGCAAAATCCTCATTAAAACCATCCCTCTTACGCTTCAGGTCCATCAAAAACCAAAATCAGAAGGCACAGAATCTGATGAAGAGGATGTCAATGAAATGACTGCAATAGCGGTGTGGGAACAGTCCAAGGCTGAGAGTGGCACTGCAACCTAATGGACGTCGCTCCTAAAGCCACGTCAGTGCGATCAACCTGAATCAACAGGCACGAGATGAACAGCAGTGAAATATGCAGCAATGAAAATAGACACCTCGAAGTTGATCCAAATGTCACGCACAAAATCCCACTGAAATGAAGTCGCTGTGTGAATCGTTCCAAATCCACTGACAACTGTACCATGCACTGCACTGAAATCAAATCACTGCGAAAGGATCCAAGCCAAAAATAAGATGGCCGCTGCACCCAGGCCACCAATGAAGCCACACAGGCTCCGCCAGACAATGTCAAGAGATGACGGCAATGGAAAACCCAAGCAAATTGGATTGTTGAATGCCACCTTCCCTTTTGCAATGGCAGATCCTCTCATACCCATGAAATTTATCACCTATGCATAAGGTGACCCTCCCTACCCAACCCTGCATCTTGAGTTGTAAAATGCCACACGAATTAAATTCATAACCCATTATGAGAGTGAGATTACCGGTGAACATGGTTCATGGAATATACACAGTACATATGCGTGCACGGCATGTAATGTGTATGTATATATATATATATACACAAGGTGCAAAATTGTTTCAAACGAAAAACGTGCATTTGGTTTCAGGTAACAACATTGTCACCGAGATTGACATCTGAAATGTCAAAGGCATTTTTTTTTTTGGGACGCCTTCTGAAGAAGGCTGCAAGGTCAAGTTTATAAACAGCTATTAGACAAGTCTAACTGCTACCATCAACATTCAACATGGTCCTTGATCTTCGTTGTGAACTCCTGCGATGTCCTAGAGGGTAGTTTGTCCAAGAGGCTGGTCTGTGCAAGAACTTATTTGCCAGAAAATCTTGCCAGCTACCTGTGACTGATTGTTGACGCCCATAGAGTTTGCGCTGTTCTGTGCTAATAGATTTTGGAGTTACACTTGTGGCCCAAAAACTTGATCCTTAGGCCATGGGCCTTGGCAGAAAAAGGCAAGACCGTGCAAGAGCAGCTTACTTGACGCGCAGGTGTACGAGCTATCGCAAACTAATGCCTGGTGCTCCGGTTGGACTCCGTCCAGGACACCAGCGCCAAGACTTGCTGACCAAAGAGAGTTTCACGGCTGCATGCCGCCGTCTGGCATATAGGGCAAGGCAAAGGCTGTTTCGGCGCGAATTAAGTACAGAACACTAAGATGGCACCGGTTTGGGGCAGTGTACCGCATTTCGGAGTAGTAGTTAAGAATCTCGCCATTACCCAAGGTACCCTTGGGAATAGCAGCTATCCTACACTGCTAGCACTCTAGGCTATCAAGCTCTGAGTATGAGGTGCAATGGGCGGCGAGAGCACTATCTACTTGAACTTGGCGGCACTGAATGTCCTACCGGCTCAATTACTCCGCACGAGGGAGGCGTCATTGTGGTACTTCTCTGTCCTGCGTCGGTGGCGCATGGCCATGGATCTTCAGCGGTGTCGTGTGGAAGTGATGTCCATCACCCGGGAGTGAACCTCATTTATTGGACAATTCTGCGGAATTTCGTATATCCACGTTGATGGTAGTGCTATAACTTAGGCTAAGATAGCGCGCCGGCTGGCAAAATGATAGTGGGAAACCAACTCTAAGCATAGGCATTGCTCAGCTTGGCTCTGCTACCAACACGGCCATAACTATTAGAACAAGGCCCTCTTCAATGTGGTAAACTGGACTAATGACAGTTGGGCAAGAGTTATTTCTGGGAGCAACCTTTATCCATTTGGCCAGTTTTGTGGAACATCCACCCGCAGGGTTAGCTACAAGGTGGGCGATTAGGGGTTGAGTGCTTGGGTAGTGTGCTGATAGTAACCATTATGGTTGGAGCAGAGAAGAAATATCTTTCCCTGAGACATGCGAGTCAGCAATAACTACCCAGCATTTGTTGGCATCTGAGCATGGACAGGGAAGTGTCATCCATTCGTTTCTACTATGAGATGCTTCATTCGACAAGGTATCAATTTAAGTGGCAAGTAGCGCTGAAGGGCAGTGTTATTCAGCGCGACCTGCTGCACCTAACCATTGGTACGGCACTCGAATAGAAAGGCCTGAAGCACCGAAGACGCAAAAAACTAACCTAGAAGCTTGTGATTGTGCAGTGGACTACAATGCGCAGGTAGATCGGAGGGTCAGAGAAAATGGCACGGTACAGGAATAACCTACGGACAGACAGAAAACGAGATTCAGAGACAGTAAAGATTAAACGGTTTTTCTTTTTCGTGGTTTTTATCAGTCCGAAGGAGCCTTCGCAACTCGATGCGGGTCACTGAAAAACTTTATCCATTATTTTTTCCATTACCCAAGGTACCCTTGGGAACAGAAAGGGTCGCATGGCAGTTGCATAGTGATGATCCCACCGCTAGTCTATCCTCTCAAGGCAAAACGTTCTGCACTCTGCTTCACGATTCCTGTGCTTGCTGAGGAGCTGGTGTACAGAGAGGGTTTTGTTTTTTTTCTTCCCACCGTTTCCCCTGGGCGGGAAGTTGATTCCCTCTGGACGCCCAGAAAGAGGCAAACAGGAGTTCAAAACAGAGTGGAGCTATACTGCGAGATGTACCTTTAGTCAACTGTGAGGTGGACATGGTCGTTTTGCAGTTACTGCAGCCTGGCAACCTAATAGTGTTTGCAGATTGATATTTAGGCTTCGCTGAGTCTCCGCGAGCGGCTGCAACTGAGTCCTGTCTGTAGGACCACTTAATCCCTTGGGGGTGCCATATCATTAGTGGGCAGTCGAAAGTCGCCCATAATTTGGTGTCCTCCAGGTTAAAGCTGGTGCGCATGTAACACTTTAGGCTAGTTTGCTTAATTATGGAACGGGTCTTCTACTATCCGAGGCTAGTGGTTCAGTATTAAGATGTCCTCATGGGTCTTGTGCAGGTGGGGAGGGCTACCCAGGGTACCCCTGGGAGCCCGCCCCACTTGACCTGACCAGTGTTCATGAGGCATGAGAACTAAATTGGCGGGGGGTGGGTACCAATAAGGTAGTGAGCTGATGAAAGTTACTTGGTGGTTACAGGAGGTCTCAATCAGCAATAACTACGTGGCAGTGGCCTGGAACTGCCTGGGCAATGGCAGGCCGTTTGTCTTGGGGTTGGCTCACCTTCCGCAAGATCACGTCAACTTAGTGGGTTGTAGCTTCATACTCCTGGGTGACTATGATGTAATAAATTCTGAGGCTCATTATTAGGGGTTGCATTAGTCCCTGATAGGTGAGCAACAGAGAAACAGTTGCTTTGTGGTCACCGAGGCAGCAACAGGGTCCGGGCAGACGTCGCGACTCTCTCACGTCGGGCGTTCACGTCGAGCGCGCAATTTGGCAAGGGCTTCCAAGGGGGTGGTGCAAATGTGTGGCGATCCTTGAGCACTGCGCTGTTTACGTTGGGAATTGTGGGATGTACGACGGGTAAGGGATAGGGCATGGCTGCTGGCGGTATGCTTGAGGGTGTCTACGTATGCATTGCGCGCCGTGGTAAGGGAGGTGACCTTGAACCATGCCTGACCAAAGTAAAGCTGATGCTTGGACAGAACTTCCTTCTCGATCTGCCTTACCATTTGTTCAGGAGGCGGGGGAGCAACTAAGAAACCATCATGTAGCCACACCAAAGATTGTGTTGGGTGGCGGGCAATGAGGGCACGAATGGTGTCCTCGACAATTATGGCTTCAAAGTGCTCTAGCAATCGAAAGGCGCTGTCGCTATGGTTGACCAGGAACTCTGGGCGGAAGCGCGGTAGCAACTGAGTGGTCAGGGTTGTACTCAAAGACCCGAGTTGGCAGAGGATTGTGCTCACACTCGCACTGGGGGA